TCTCCAAAATCAGAGTAGAGTCATTGCATTGTTGATGATGCTTTTGCCCCTTTCGCTATCACAACTTCTAGGACATGACATAATAAATAATAGCAAGACTGAACTTGAATTCTAAAACCTCTGGAAAATTATTATAATAAAATTTTATCCATGAGGTAATAGTTTCACATAATGAATAAATTTAAACTTTAGCTTTATATTACGGAATATTTGGGCAATTTGAAATTCAGAAAATTCGATTTCAGAATTGGTAACTTTTCACAATTAGAACTGCAACGACTTGATGCCAATATCCCAGAGACTTTTTTGGGAAAGAAAAAGAGTCCTGCCAGAAGAACCAAAACTCGAGTAGCAGGATTTCCTGAGCAGGAAAAAAACAAACTCCTACTACACCATCCTTCCACACCATAACATGAACTTCATTCTTTTATATCTGGATTCAAATCCAAAGAAGATTTGAGAACAAAACTCTAGCAAATCCTTTCACTTCCCTTCAGTCTCGCTGTTGAGCAGTCGTAGCGTACCATGTTATGCCGACCGAGCTACTTGTTAGTTAGTAAAAGGACTTAAAAGAGTTTTTGGCACAAAAGAGGTTACTTACTCTTTCACAATGAAATTGGAGGCTAGTTGGTTGGTTGGTAAGCAAAAAGGAAAGAATTGAGCATTGAGAACGCTACCAAGAGATCCAAGTTTCGGGATTATATTGTACTCCATTTCAACAATCTTACATGAGAATAACATAGCAAAGGGGCCAGAACAAGGGGGGAAATTGCAAATTCGAAGACAATACGGAGCAGCTTGTTAGTTTAGTTGCTTCCAACACATCCCGTATTTTATTTCTTGCTTATGGAGGATAAGCCTCTTTTCAAACCCTTTTGTTCCGATTATCCTATCAAACATGCTCAAGATAGATACGTGGTTACAAGAGAAACATGTCATAAAATATCATAACTTTACTCGCAACATCTATTACCGCCACAGTTATTTCTTTGAGATGAACTACATGAAACTGCTTGTATGTAACAACAAGCTTCAAATAAAGTGCAACACATTTTACCGCAGCGAATATGTACATGCGAAGTGCTTACAAGTTAAGCTTTCACCACTCTTACAAATATACAAAAAGCCGAATCCTACATGAAAACTTGAATAACAAAGTATTATGTACTTGATGCGTATTTACAAAAATATCAATCTCTTCATGTGGCATTTAACATGAAATAAGTAAAGCACGGATTGCACAGGTTACTAATATGCACATACAATGAGGGATATAAACTTTGATCTCGGAAACTCTAAATGATAACAACTACATGTACACCCACATTTAAATAATGTACGTATACATGTAAATATTATGTACATCGCAGGTCTATACCAACTCGTAACCTCGGCCAAAGAGTAGTCTTACGAAATAAGATCATTATATTACAAAGGAATGAGACAAACTACAATGAAATGTCTTATGCGCCCGTGTGTGTGGGTGGCTTGGAAAATATGCCACAATGAATAGAGTTCTAAGAATAAAAACTTTGCAAAGACCTGCCGAGTGAATAGACCGATCTTTCCATTTAAGAGGATTAAAATGGTTGTGGACCAATCTTGGAGCCCAGCATTTCATGTGCCTTCGAAAGGAGGAAAAGAAACCAAAAACTGTTTCAACTGATAAATAAATTTTAAAATTAGACTATCGAGAAACCAACACCATCATCGAATATAACCCGGAAATGTTTATAATATATGCACTTGATGGAACCTGCCTGAACACGACCAAGGAATGAAAAAGGTAGATCAACATTACGAGCTTAGCTTAACTCAATTGTTTCAGCGTGTTGCTTTATTTCTTGTATTTACGAACACGTTGTATAAAAGAATTTCGCAGAATGAGCTCAATTTGTAAGAAATGAGATCAATTTACAAAAAGGCAATCTCGAGCCTATACAAGAAGATACGGTCTGGGCTGATTCGATTTAATAAAATACCTATTTTTTTCTTAGAAAATTTTACAACCAGGCAGTCTAGGTTAGCTTGGGATTTTGGATCTCAATTTTTGTAAATACGGGATGGAATTTATATGTGTTCCTACTGCCCATAAGTTGAAACAAGCGATTCTTCAAAGCCCGACCAAATTCTTTGAAAATACAACCGAGAAACCTTCCAAGCCTTTTCAACTTTGTTGGTCAGCAAGTAAAGGAAACAAAAATGCAATATCCAATTTATTTGGTCATCCACTAGTCCTCCAACATACGAAGGATGTTCAATTTATCAAATTTTTGTGTTACTAGCCTTTTGTTATCCGCCATATTTAATAGCAGACAAAAAATAAGACGCACGCTTTATATGTATCTATATATGATCTTATCCTTAGTATCCCTCATGTCTGCTGAGCTTATCATCTTAAACTTAATTGAAGATGATTATGAACATTCCTCGTACATACATATGTCACCTTTTTACGCAAATATTATCCTAATGTGAACCATAATTTTCAACAATAAAAAATGATCCCAACTATTGAAACATACTTATATTGGAGTGCTTACATGGATTATAATGTAATTGGATGATGACGAAAAAGCCCGTCTCCAAGTCAAGTTGTAAACCGATCACTAAAAATGTCCCTTGAACCGGAGCGTGTAAAAAATCGGATCACCACTTAAAACTACAATTCGTATTCTTTTTTTGTACGTCTAGCCGGCAGCCAACAATTTTCATATCTTTTTCGAATAGTACAATATTCTACCAGTCGTATTCAACACCCGCCTTCCTTATTTCTAACTAGCGAGGAGGGCTACGTACGAATAAAGAGACGTTTAAACCAACTCGTTCAAATATATTTGCACATTCGTAATACAAAAAGGTTGGAATCGTGCTAGTCACCCAAAGCCAGAGGAGACTTCTGTTTGTACTTGGTCTGGCCTGGGCTGTTATGGGCTATGAAATCGCACCCACGAGTCGCTTTACAAAAACCTCTATTCATAGAATAGAACTACACGCACTTTATCTAGGTTTGAATGGATGATAAAAAACGCTCTTGAGAACTTTATGAGACCAAGATATCAAACCAGCGAGCCACTCTTCCCCCATCCACGCCTTGCACTTTCCTTTGCGAAACATTGCATTTCATGAGTTCACGAACCATGCTTCGACTCGCAACCCCAACAACAAGGGTGCAAATTCCAACAAAAATTTAAGACTGTATGTTATTGTTGTAGTGCTGCAATTTTATTATTTCTCGAGCTGCAGCCATTTATCAGGAGAAATTGGGCGAGGAATACACATGCAGCGAGGATGGGGCAACTGGAAAAAATTGCAGCATTCACCAAGAATCAGAAGAGAACCAAGTTCAGCAATGTCGGAGAAAGTGTAATGGTGAGCGGTTGGTTGGTGCCGGGGCGATAATAAAAAGTGAGTCAAGACTCGAGAGGGATCAATGTAGTCGGCACACAACACTTTGGTTCTTGTTGTTGTTGTTCCACTGCTCTGGGCTGATTCCCTGGATAACTTTCACTGGGAGAGAAATGTGGCTGCGTGACCTACGAGGATAAACAGCTCACGGGTGCTATCTATAAACTTCTTAGTGTGCTGGTTGCTGGGCTTGCTTTAAATCAGTGCAGCCACACAAAGATTTAACTGCAATCTTAAATTCCATATTGGTTGGCAAATTGTCAACATATTTAAGCTTTATTACGAAAGAACAATGAATGCGAAAGTGAAATCCTTTGTGTGAGGTTAACCATTTCACACACGATTAATGCACCCTTCATAAACTAGTAAAAAGTTTATTAGCTCTATTGTTTTATGTTTAGTGGTATTTTGACTCAAGTCCTCATTAATCAAGGTAGAAAATTGAGCTACTTTTTAAACAAATAATCACGTCATAAAGCTCAGACTTTGAGTACCTGGCCGAAATTATGACACTACTTTCTACTACTGAATAGATGACTGTTACAGAGCACGGTAAGGAAATAATACCCAACAGGAAGTATTATTATGTAGTCAAAAGAAGGTGAAAATATCGTCTCCTTAAAAACAGATAGATGTCCCAATGTTCATTATATTGCCCAATTTCTCGAGTCCTTCTGAACATCCTCCTCAAAGTTGAAGCCACGATAAGGAAATTTGTTCGTTTGTTTGTCTTAACTTAATAATAAGCACTCACAAAGCAGCCTCTATCACACTTTGTTTAGGATTCAAGTGAAACTCGACTATCGCCCAAGAAACTTGTCCTCTTTCTTCTCTTCGCTCTCTCTCTCTCGTGGCGCACCGTGGGTCTGGTAAACGGACAGCAGAGAGGAACAGCAGCGAGCGAACAAGTAATAAATACTCGGCGGTTGGGAGAAAGCGTGGGGCGTGGAGGAGGTATAATTATTATTAGGAACCACATCAATTTACGGTCCTGGAAACTTTCTTCCTCTCTGCTTTCCCCTTTTGTCTTCAAAATAATGCCAGAGTAGCATTGCAAAAGGGAGAGCAACCTCCAATCTAAGGAGGAAGCAGTAGAAGAAGAAGCCTGCCTTGTCTGACTCTTTGAGGAAGAAGAAATAGCTAATGAGTGGAGCAATATGCAGTGGAGAAATACATAACTTCAATTTTCCGTGTATTCACCGTCTCCATATATTTCTTCGCCGACAGCCTCATACATCTCTGCCCCACCGAAACGGAGCATTCTCTCCTTCTTCTTGTCGTCTCACAGGCACAAACAATCCGCCGAAACTGTCCCGTCTTATCTTTACCTTATCTGGAAAATGAATGTCTTCGGAAGGTCGGGCCAGCGACCACGCAACACTCAGTCACCCGGCCAAGACGTCATATTGTAGCTGGTGGTATGCTAATGTGTACGCTGTGCGGAATGATAGTCACCATTATCAAAGACACCAACATGCACTCCCATTGCTGCAAAATGAACCTACGTTGACTGGGAGTTGACACGTGGTTGGAAGTTCATGCATAATTTTCTAGGACAAAGCAGAGGTGGAAGTGAGGAAGAAAAGGCTTACCTAGTGCAAATCCACTCCGCGTCCATTGAGCCATTCCAGCCTGATTGTCAACTTCACAGCGAATACTAAATAAATTTTTAATAAATAACAATGAGTCAACAGATATGAGAAAGCATTCATTTAGCATATGTTTAAAGACAATATTCACATTGCGTAGTCTCCCAATTTGGCTTCCACGTCGGTAGGTCTGACTCGGAAGGATTGTTGTTGAGCTGCTGCTATCCCTGAAATTATAATTAATTCATAAAGTTAATTATCTGGTTAATTATATCCATATTTTACTCTGGTTTAAATAAGTGGACGAGTATATGCATGATGGACGAGTTGAGGGGAGGGGGGAGCGCTTCAGCGCTGATAATTTTCTTGCTTTGTATGCACCAGAGTTCCGAAATAGTTGAAGAATTTTCTCAGAGCTGAGTTGTTGTAAACTTTGGACAACGGATGAACGCACAGGAATAACAATAAACGATGAGAACCATCACATCACAGAGGAGGAGTTGAGGAGTGAACCGCAAGTTTCGTTTTAATTATAAGCATTTATAAACCCACTACAATAGAAATAACCGTTACCTCCACAACAGAAACAAAAGACTCGGTGGTTATCCCCCCAAGCTCCGAACTAAAGACTTTGCATGGAGACTTTATCGTGTTCATTATACTTGATTGATGCTGGATTTTATAAACTTTTCAGATAGTTGAAGAACGATGTTATTATCTGTGTCTGCGCATACTTTGTAATTGATCTTCTTATGAATACAGTAAAGAAAGCCACTCATTTGAGTTTGAAAGAACCACGAGAGTTATGGTGAAAGCATTCTACACGTTAAACTGGAATCGTACCAAAGTCTGCGTACGCAGAATTATATACGAACACATAAATACAACTAGACAATAGATTTGTCCACGTGTAATATACACATTTTGTGTGTTTGTGCGTTGCCAGTGTAGGAGCAGATTTAGATTTTTTCTTGGCTGGTGAAAGTGAAGGCGGATGAGAAGGAAAGTGTGATGCTACGAGTGTGAGTAACACGTTCATCACATATTTGCATGTGAAAGTGTGGGGGCAGTCAGAGTGCTGACAGATCTATTCAGTTCCACTGAGCTATTAAAAAGGCAATTACAGCCAAGAGTACAGTCGGCAAAGCCCTTCCTTTCCACTCGTTTCAACATGCAGTCCTACGTACTCACTAAACGCGTCGATTTTGCAATGCAAGTTTGAACTACCCGTGTCACACTCTACGTACGTACGTACATACCAAACAATTCAGTCTGCAAAGTAAACGATACGCGATGCGATGTCGGTAAGTGGAATGGTAAATAGAGAAAAGGAAACTACTTTTTCAACAGTACACACCATCCTCCTTTTCGCATTTCTACGGATGATTCCAAATATATAGGACAATTTCGAACCCCATGCATAATACATAAATCTTCAATTCAAGAGTGGTGGGACCGGAAGATCGATCATACATATGTGTACACACACATATCAGACTGATACGTACCGATCTGATATGATCTGTATCGCAAGAGGCCGCACCACCCGACCAACTATCTACACATAGAGCAAAGGAAATCGAACCAATCAAACTTACTTCGATATTGGCATTCACGACACAGATTGGTGACTGGGTCGAAACTGAGGAAAACTTTAAGATATGAATCCGAATTTAGAATGATTTTAAGCTGGTTGAAAGTGCAAGTATTAGTCTCTTATCTTTTATAATACTTTTTAAACAATGTAACGAAAATCAACTCGAGAACATAATTGTAACCGGGAACGATATCCCATTTCGATCCTTAAAATTATACTCGGTCGGTTTGGAATGATGATGTACAAGGGGTATGTAAATGCAACTAAGCCAATACACAAATGGGACATTGTCCCTCTGATCCTGGGTTCCAGTAGCTCGAGCTCTGGAATGGTTTCGCTAGGAAGAATCTGAATGTTTCAAAATGAGAGTTTGAAGTTGTATGAAAAGCTGTTGAAGCTGTTGAAGGACGTGAGAATTCATACAGATTGCCAAATAACCAATTTCTGCCAAATCCCCAGGCAAATACAGCCAAGAATTTTACAAGTATTGCTAACTCCTCTGCCACTATTCCGAAATATTACATGGTCTGCAGGACATTATTATGTATCGACCAAAGCTCAAGCGTCGATGTCATGTCGTACCCTGTCGATGTATTCCCTTTCTGCCTCGCCAGTCAGACGAAAAGCTGATACTTATGCAACACAAAACTTGAATGCTATACATACATCTAAACCCGATCCAGGTTTATTCACACGTGTCAACACTTGATTTTTTTCTTTTACCGGATTCGTGACCATTTGGACAAAATAAAAGCGCAATATCCGACAAAATATTTGAAAATTGCCGATTCCCGAGTTGAAGTAAGAGAGAAACATGTTCAAGTGTTTGCAATGAGTCCCTTTCACTTGCTTCAAATGCTATGCAACGGCACGGCATACGTCTCACCCAAGTGGTCGCACCAACCAACGACCGAATTTTCAATTCCTAGTTCAAGTGCTACCATACTCCTTTCTCATCGCCCCAATTCCAGTCTAAATTGCCCAATTTAAACCATATACATGCATGCTTTGCTTGAATTTACAACTCTATTCACTTTGTACTAAATGTACGAAATAAAATATTAATTAAGCAATTTAGAGTAAAACGCACAACTTTTAACTAATAAAGACAAAGTAGAATACATAGGTATTCAAACTAAGTAGGCGCATATCAATCTAAAAATACCCTAGATGCATATACTTTACATTTCAAGGAGACAAGTCACAGAGTGACACTCCTGAGTTGTGGTACATCTTTAAGAGTTCAACGTTTGCCCACATATAGTTTAGGCCAAGTCGACAAGAGGAGACAACGGAAGATGACTTTTGACCCTTGGAAGCAACAGGGAATTGGAAATTAGATTGAGTGTCACCACTGTGAAATGGCCATCCGCAGGTCATCTGCCAATAGGAAACCCACTTTTCTTTTCTACTTTTTTCTATTACTTTAATGCACTCTAGACATTCCGGTGCTGTGTGTATACGTGCATTCGTATATACAACTCAGACGACTGCTATGGTGCCCAACTCTACTCATTCGTACGAACAAGTTGACTCAACTTTCTCCACTTGTTCCTGCTGCGTGGTATAGAGGTTCCTGTCTGCAAGAGGCAAGGGAAAGAAAGCAAGATACGAAGTGCGTATTAAAGGAGACTTTGACGGATGTCGACCTAGTTTACAACATTCCGTCGTGTCCCAGACAGCCAATGTATTCGTATTCTACTAATACTTTCACTAGGTCCTATTTTTAGTTTTGGACGACTTGCACAGCCATCCCCACTTTTTCAAAACTGGGTGCAAACAAACGCATTGTGAGACTGTTCCATTCCAGTCAACTCTCAGAATGAATATTAAACATTGAATTGAATCGAGTTGGGTGAAGGTTGGAAGAGGAAGAAGACGCTGGAATTAGTTTCTTTACTGGACACTTTAAGTCACAGGCTGCATAAACAACAAGCTAACCTTGGTATACACATTTCCATCCTTATACCGACTGTATAGAAAGGAAGTACGCGAAAATGTGTGCCCTGGAATGCAGGGGAGACTGGCGATATTGGATAAGACAAGAGAAACAAAAGGAGAAAAAAAAGTCTCCAGGAAAAGAATGGAGTGCTTGAACTGTGAGATCCAGTCCAGTCATTTACAACCTCTCGCTGCACTTAGAAAAGTCAACAGGCCATTTTATCCATTTCCTTCAAAATCGCCACTATATTCAGTCACTAGCTAGGCTGCTATTATAACAGATTGCCAACACGGCATATCCATGCAATGCACATACATATCTCGACAATGCAGAGTTGAGATTTACCCATTTAATTATATTGAGATTCAGTTTATTTACATGTTATATAAAATTTTATAAATTAGTAATCGCCAAACCACGTGGTCAATTTGGTAACCACCAACAAACAACAACAGGAAAATAGTTCACCAACCTACTATCGGTTAATAACAAATAATAACCCACACACACAAACGCACACTTTCTAAATATCTTCCCTTGACAAACACATCCCGCCTACGAATGTAAACTAATGTCCTCTGAAAGTACAGCAAAATGAAGGAATAAACATAACGCCACAGCTCGGAATGACTTTGATTACTGCAGTTCTATCCGAACCAACGGCGACTCAACTGATTACGGAGGTGGATCACGGACGGGCGAAACATAACAAAACGACATCAGATTGCAATTGCAATAACATTCTAAATTAAACCACAACATGCAAGTCTCGCCATAAATAGGCTGAGAGTAAGACTAATAGTAATTGTATTTCAGACTAAACTATCAGGCTGAAATTGCCAATCAAGAATCAAGGGGGTATAATCACTGTGTAATTTTATGATGCAGATTCAACTTAATCTGTGACGGGGAGCCTGATGCATTAAACTTTATGCAACAAAACCTATAGCAATACAACAACCCATAAATTGGGATTATCATTCGTTGTTCTCGAAAGCAATAATTAAACCCAGAGTGAATTTACTTCAAAGCCAGATGCGATTGGTACTGGATTATGTATGTACGAGAGCTAATAAAATCACAACATTAATTTATCAGGATATCAGGACTTAGATATTTATCCATGTGTAAACGGAAAAACTTAGTGTGCCACTCTGAAAATTAGGGTACGTCTGACCCAATTATTTGTATTTATTATGTCAAATATAACAAAGGTTAAATTATGTGCAGCATTTTACTCGGCCCATGTCAAAATATTGGTTGGCATTGAACATCAAAAGATCCTAATCACGCTTCTAATCAGGGGGACGAAATAAGAAAGAGTTAACTACATAGTTGAGAATATGATGATGAAGAGGAAGAGTGCTGACGATGGGCTTTCCCTAACTTACTCCTTTTTGGCACGAGGCAAAGAAAGTAAGGAGGAAACTAACTCAATCGAAGCGACGGCAAAATCAACAAACTGAGCAGTGCTGTACAACTAGTAGAAGTAGAACCGGAATAAACTGTATAACTTATAACTAGGCTAACGAAGTAGCTTCTTCTACTTTCTCCGCTTTTATGTACTTTCTAGCCATATATGAATGCCATATATTTCATCACAAATGTATATATGCATCCACCACTTTTGCATTTACTCGAATTATAAGATGTCATCTTGAGTAGTCAACCATTCCTTGGATACAACA